CCCAGGCACCAGCACAGCCTGGGGCTGACCTGCTGGGGAGCAGCGCTGTGGAGAAGGACCTGGGGGTCCTGGGGGACAACAAGCTGTCTGTGAGCCAGCTGCGTGTCCTGGTGACCAAGAAGGCCAATGGTGTCCTGGGGTGCATTAGGAGGAGCATTGCCAGCAGGTGGAGGGAGGTGATCCTGCCCCTCTGCTCAGCCCTGGCGAGACCTCACCTGGAGCGCTGTGTCCAGTTCTGGGCTCCTCAGGACAACAGAGACATGGAGCTGCTGGAGGATACTGACAAAAGGATGGATCCAGGCTCTTCTCAGTGGTACCAACCAATGGAAGAAGAGGCAATGAAACAAGAGGCATAAACTGATGCCCAGGAAGTTCCACCTGGACATGAGGAAGAAGTTCTTTACTGTGCAGGTGACCATGCACCAGAACAGGTTTCCCAGAGAGGTTGTAGATTCTCCCTCACTGCAGATATTCAAGAACTGTTTGGACACAATCCTGTGCCATGTGCTCCAGGAAGACTCTGCTTAAGCAGGGAATTTAAGCCAGATCACCCACTGTGGTCCCGTCCAACCTGACCCATTCTATGAGAGATTGTAAACTGTGCATTTTGTAATGTCACTTATGTTAAAGGAGAAAGGTACACGTAGTTTTTCTGCAATTGACCTTGATGCTTACTGTACAGGGAATCAAGAAGGAACCAAATCTCCAAAGTCTGAGACCAGTTTTGGTATTTTCATTTTTTTTTCCTTAAAAGAGGATCTTCAAATTTATCAGATAGTTAAAAAGGCATGTCTGATGACAAACAAGTCTTATTTATGTAGGATTCCTATGCTTATATGTAGGACAAGAAGATAATTTCACTGATTTTTAATATCAGTATTTTTTTAGGCTTGGGGATCCAGAATTGCAGCTCTTCTTTTTGTACAATAGAACCTGTACTTTTTCTACTGAAAAATTTTCCTTTGCAATATGAATTCATAGTGTCTATGTTAGTTATTTTCTTCTGGGGAAAAAAAAAGAGAGATGTATAAATATACATATTATATATTATATATATATATATATATGCATATATAATATATAAATTATGTATATTACATAATAATGTGAAGCTGATCTACATGTATTCTTCATATTAATTGCCCCTTTTCCTTAAAGTATAGTAAAAACTCTTCTATTCTGAGGTAAGGGTTTTCAGAAGAAAAGCTTGTGATTATCTTATGTAGGTAGGTCTTTGTAGCCAATGGCAAACTTGGACAAGATGATATGAAAGCAATGCCAGAAAATAATGCAATGTACAGTACTAAGTTATCTATAGAGAGAGGAGAGGGAAAGGAAAGAACACAGGGAAATCAGAAAAAAAAATTAATGTCAACAACAGATTTTCTTTAAAGACCTGAATATTATTTAATGAGAAACACAGAGAAAATTAAAAATAAGATATGTAGAAATAGGAACTGAGACAATACAATGAAGATTCTGGAAAGTGAAAGGAAAGGACATTTATATCACTTATAGATCACAAAATTATAGTTTATTAACTGTCAGGCATATCTTTCCTTATATCTTGTAACTTCCCAAGGGAAAGTATATTACCCAGTTCAGATCCACAAGTATTCTTAATAAAGCAGTGAACTTCTGGTGGTATTGTTAAAAAAAATCTAGCAGAGGAACTAAGTCTTTCTTAATTTTTTTTATATTTTATGCATTCAAAAATAATTCAAGTAACTGCCTACTCCTTGTATAATTTATTTTATGTTTAATTATGGCAACAAATGACAGCATTTATTATCTGGAATTTGCCAATAGTCCTAAGAATTGGTTAGGATTTCATTCATTCTATTAGAGTTCATTTCCAGATGGATTAAATATCGCAGCTATTCATAGGTTTTTTAAATAATTTTTAAATATTTTTAATAATTTTTCATAAAATAGGATAATATTACTATCATAAGTAAATTGATTGCTGTTCAGTTTTCTTTGCTGCTCATAACCCATCTAGATTGATGCCTACTATGTTTTTCTTTCATGCCCTCAGATGAATTATGAAACTATCTTTAAGCAAATAAAACATGCATTTCCTCATCAAAGAAAATATAAGTTTGGCTCTGAGATGAACATCTTGTGACCTGATGAGTGAGCTCAGAAAGTATGTCTGGGTTAACCAGCATGCACTAGTTTTGGAGATGCAAGTTTCACTATGTATTGGTACTGGCATCTTTATAATTAACTGTTGCAATCACAAGCCACAATTTTTGGGATTGCTTTTAAAAATAGATACAGCATTTACATGCCTGCAATTTTAATTCAAGAATAAAATCTGCTCTATGTAATTTAAAATTTGGCAGCTGAAAATCATGCAGACTATTTGTGAATTGAAATCTACAAAGCATTTCTGTTCTCAGGAGATTATGGTCACTAAACCATGGGAGTTTTGTTTTCTCTTAGGATTGCATTGACCAGTCATGAGGACATTTTTTGTCTTTTATTATAAACTAAAAATCTGTAGATTTGAAAGAATGTTTCTATCTAACTGCTTGTAATTATTCCCCCCAGTGTTTAAATGAACATGTTTATCTGTGCATTTAATATTACTTTTGAAAGAGACTATATACTCAGGGAAGAGTTCATAATTTAAAAATAATTTTTCAATACAGGGCATAACCAAGTTGTATCTATTGTCTGGATAAAAACAGCACTTAGAACTTTTTCCATTTATTTTTCTTGTCTTAAAAGTTATTATCTAATTTTTTAATCTAATATTTTAATAAATAATATTAAAATTAGACAGAAATTATGTAAATTTTATATACTGTGTGACAAGATATTGCAGAACTTTTAAAAAATGGATTAATGTATCTCCTGGAATCAACTAAAGATTCTTCACTGTAAGTGAATAGGGTGAGTACTGTCTTACAGGTGATATACTACCTGAACAACATTCAGTTAATAACACAAATTTTTTAAAGCTGAGTGATATTTTGCAATCATAGAAGTTTAGAATATTTTCTTATTACAAAATTCCTCAAAAACTAATTTGTTAAAGGTGCCAATTTTTAGCCAAATTCTAGAAGGAAATGTGTCTGATGCCAGTAGGAAATACAGTAAAAATATAACATTAATATCAATGCTATCCAATAAGTACATTTGTGAGAATGGTGTGCATTATTACAATGCTTAATTCTAAACTGTGTAAAAATTATTTTTAACTAAATGTATTTGAGGAAAATATCATTATGAAGTCCACATTCAGCTGATTCAACCAAGAGAATTAAGGCACTTTGTGATAGAAAGGATAAATGATTAGTCAGAACTCAGCATGAATTGTATATCAGCTAGCAGTGCCACATTACTGGCATTGCTGTTTGTCTAGGACTGTTAAATACTATTTCTTATTGTAATGAAATGTGAGCAGAAAATTGCTAGGTTGTCAGGCCTATTTGAATTATTGTCATCTGTTGGCAGTTTTTGCATTGATTATAGAATTCAAGGTGAATCTTCTCACAGCTTCTCATATATTTATATCTTTCAGTTATTTTTCAAGAGCCAAAGAGGATGCTATTTCCTTCCCCTCCAAGGGAAGGCTAAGAGAATTGGGTTTGTTTAGCCTGGAAAAGAGACAGCTTAGGTGACCTAATAACAGGCATCTAGGATTCAAAGGAAACCTACAGAAAAGATGGAGAGGGACTTTTTTTAAGAGCATTTAGTGACAGGACAAGTGGGAATGGCTTCAAATGGAAAGAAAGGAGGTTTAGATTAAATATTAGGAAAGAATTCTTTACTGTGAGGTTGGTGAGGCACAGAACAAGTTGTCCACTGAAGTGGGCTATCCAGTCCTGGTAGTGTTCAAGGCCAGGCTGGATGGTCAAGTGGAAGGCTCCCTGCCTACAGCCTGGGTTTTGGAACTCTATGATCTTTAAGGTCCCTTGCAACCAAGTCATTCTATGAGTCTATATATGTCTTAAAATGAAGAGATGGCTGTAAGGTAAAGTTAGCAGATATTTGTAGCCAGGAGGTTTTAATCTCCATTTAATTAATGCATTTCACATTTTGGAATAAGTTAAATGATTGATTCTCTTTTGAAGAAAGGTACAGGACTTTTTGAAACTTTTAAATACAGAGAATGCCATTATTTCAGATTTATAACTATACATGTTCAATAAAAACTGCCTGTGAATTGCAAATACACATTTTTAAAATTCTAATAAACATCTCACAGCATGTTTTTAAGAGAGAAGTAAGGCAGTGTGTATTGCAACAATATACTGCCATCATACCAGTGGTGCTTTACTGCTTAAAAAAAAAAACAACTCAGAAAACATGCTTAATATACTACCTTATCATGTTGTCTTGCCAGTGATATACCATGTTTTGGCAAACTGCCTGTTGATGGTTAACAGTGAAAGAGGAACTGGATTTGCCAGGCAGAATGAATATTCACAGAGACATACTGCCTCCTTCAGAATGAATTATAGTTCTTTTCTTTTATTGAAAAAAATGTAGGATAATATATGCAAATGCAACACCTGTTTCCCAGTATTGCTGGTTGTTTTAAACCAGAGCACATAAACAATAATTCTGCATTGAAGTGTGACCACATTCTATTTGGTGTTGTTTTCTTTGGAAATTTAAGTGTCTTTACTAGGAGAGGATGGCAGACAGAGAATGAATTTTGTGCAGTATACAATAAAACTAAACAAACTTCTAGTAAATTTATAAATACATTCCCCCTTTTTTTTTTTTGTTTTGTTTTGTTTTGTTTATTTTAAGAAAACAACAGAATCTTAAATTCCTTTCTCGGTGGGACAGCCTAAAAGTGAAGGAAATTTTAAAAATTATGGTGGTTAGGGAGCATTCAAGCATTTTAAATTCTCACTGCTGTAGACTTTGGCCAAATAAAGTGGGATGGTAGAATTAATAATCAACAGGTGAAATGCAATTATACTCAAAAATTAGAAGAGCAAGAATGATTAATTAATGGTCTTTCATTTCATCTCAAGGTGTCCAGAAACAAGAGGTGGTGTGTAAAAGGCTGGATGACAGCTCCATTGTACAAAACAATTACTGTGACCCTGACAGTAAGCCTCCAGAAAACCAAAGATCCTGCAACACTGAGCCTTGCCCACCTGAGTAAGTCATTAGTCACTTACGATGGACATTGGTTTTGCACAGAAAGATAAGTCTTCATCATCTATAATAAATCCTGTTAACCAAATAAGATTCTCATCTAGTATTCATGTCCTGTCTTATCAGAAAAGGTTTTTAGTTTCTTGTTCCTCTAAAATAATCTCTCAAAAATGCATTGAGGATCTCTGTTTGATTGAGGAACAATAGTGATGTTTGAACTACACCAAACCCTGTAAGTAAATAGATTGTAGCAAAACAGTTTCTTAGGATGTGAGTGTCATATGCAATGAGTAGTGCACAGAGTAGAACTGGGGACCTTTCTTAAGGCAACAATGATAAAAAAATGTTTGGGTGAGACAACTTTACCCTAGTTATTAATATTGCATCTGAAATGTTTACCATATTTTGAAGTATGTTATATTAACATTTGTGTAGAAGTGTTCACTTGAGAAGTACCAAATATAGAAACTTATAAGTAGACCAAACAATTTCCTGCAAATAGTTTTGTCAAACCTTTTCTCCAGAATATTCACTGTTGTAGAGTAATGCTGTATGCCTTTAGGATTATGTGCTTAGATTCTGTTTCGGTTTATTTTTAAAGATAGTGTATGCTATATATTTATATTTAAAACCCCAGCAGCTCATTTGATCAAAAATGTAGTTTGGCAAGGACATAGAGCATACCTAAATCTTATTACAAAACCTGTTTAGAAACAGTTGTGATATTTTGTACTAGAAAATTATATCAGCATGTGAACAACAGCTTCCTTATACTTTGGAAAAAAACAAATAAAAACTTGTGGAAAAGATGGAACAAATACAACAGTTTATTGATTCCCAAGCTGTGGTTAGTTTGACTTTGGTGATAATCTGTGTAGCTGTATTCCAGCTGGGTGTGAAAATCGTTAATGCTGATTAAATTCAGATTGTGCACAATACTGTGGTCACCTCTAAATGTCTCTTAGAAATTGCTAAATAGTAGCATGAAAGAGACTGTAAGGAATAAGACAAGATTAAATGCATTAAATCACAGCAGGTCAATGAACTTCCAACTAAAGTCAGTCTCTTCCCCAGGTATTATTAGCTGCTTCCCTGGTGTGGTGCCTGGTTGCAGGATGGCAGAGAACTATCTCTTACACCTTATGTCATGTAACACTCATTTGGCGTAAAGCCAAGTGAAGTCATTGCATTGCTATTATGTTTGAATGAATAAGCTGTATCAGACAGGTCTAAATTAGGTTGAAATAATTGTCCCCACAGTCTATGTGTAAATATATATTTATTCTGGAAGGATATGCATTTGTTCTCTCTGGATTACATTGTTTGGCATGGCTCTGAGTGCACCAACTATGTGTACCTGAGAACACGACTTGAACAGCAGTCACGTTTGATCAGTTCCTTTTTACCAAACACATTCCAATGCCTTCCTTTGTGTGGCTTGACTATTAGCAAATTAACATTTTTAAAAGAAATGTTAACAAAATTATTCCAATCTAGTTTAATTTAAGGAGTCTTTGTGTTGTTTTTTTTTATTTGGTTTTTTTTTTTTTTCCTTTTTCACTGACACTACTTAAAAAAACCCCAAAAACTAATAAAACCCAGCCCACAAAGTGGGAAGCTTTTGGATCCCCATCCTTTACAACAGGGATATTGATGAACATGGTGAAAGTTAAGACATCAGTATTCAGGAAATGGGTAGTGTATGAATTATCTACTTCAACGTATCACAGCAATTCAACCCATGTCAGCCTCCGTTATAATGTTCCCCCCAGAGTGGGTACTAAGTGCCAAACTAAGGAAAGGTTTGACAATTCCTGATTCTCTAAGTAATCTAGTAGAAGGCTATTCAAATAACAGATAGTTATTCAAAGTTTGACTGTTTTGACAGAAAGTTTTATCGAGCAGTAAGACTTGGTGGATGGACTGGTGAAATATTTCCTTTTTGGTTAGTACAATTCTACTCTTCTCATGGTATATACCAAAAGCAATGAAAATTATACCCTTTCTAAATGACTGCCTGTTACATTATACTTGATGTCCTTGAACAACAGAAGACTATGTTTGTTTTCAATAAGTTGTTTGTTATTACAGTAACTCTTACATTTCAGATTTCAAGAAAATGCTCTTCTATTTCTATGAATTAGAAATAGTGCTGTCTTATCATAAAGTATAAATATTAAAAGTACCTGAGAGCAAAGTCACTTGAGCAAATCGCAATTAACTCTGCAGCCTCTTGAAAGCTCTGAAGAGCTTTGGATTCCCCCTACTGTGGTGAAAGTGTAAGATTTTTTGATGAAGAATAACAAATTAACTTCCTTTGGCTGTGAAAGTAATGACAGGTTATGACATAATGGTTTCCATTTCTGCATCAGTATAGTTTCATATTAGGATATATTACACGTAATGTAACAAAATAGGATAGCAGAAATTCTTTTTTGACAGCACCTTGAGAAAATGACAGATCTTGTGAGGTAGCTCCAGGCATGCCACCAGGAGCATCTACAGTGACTGACATGCCTGGCATTTTTGGCATTTTGGCAATAAGTGATAGCATACTAGACTTTAACTTCATCCTTTTTAAGGATGACTCAGGTGAGTAACTAATTAACATAATAAATATTGAAGACCAAATGTGCTCATCAATATGAAGAGATATTTCTATTTAATTGAGCTGCATTAGTCATTCATATGTAGAAATGTATAACATTGCAGCCAGATTAATAGCTACTTTAAGCTCTGCAGCAGCACAAAGCAATCTAATATTTATAATTCTTAGTTTCTACTATGTATGCAGAAACAGTCAGAAGTTCCCTCTACCACCTATAATGTAATTCTTTAAATTTTAAAGGAGTTTGTTGAAATTATTGTTTTTATGAGATGAATTCATATCTTACTAGTGTTTGCTTCAGTTTAAAAAATGAGAATATTTTACATTTCAGTGTAGTCTTTTATTAAAAAGTTACAAATGTCTCATTATCATATGAGAAATTAACTCCCAAAAAGCCCAGGTTTGAGATAAAATTATTTTATTGCAATGATACAAAAGAGGCAAACATCTTAGTTTTTGACTTGTGATGTAACTTTCAGCAGTGGTTCCCAGACATTTCCAGTTGCAAACCATTTTCACAGAAATTATTTCAGGCAAGTCCAATACAAACCTACATAAATAGCTTCAGTTTTGTCAGTCTCAAACACTCCTTTCTGACTACTACAGGCTAGGATGGAAATTGCTGCTCTAGCAAATACAAAGCAGTGTTATTATTGGAAGATACTCTTGCAGTGGGGCATAAATTAAAATATTCAGTAAAAGGACCCATAAATTTCTACTTTATTTCACCATGAATGTGTGCATTGTTAAAAATTCCTTTGGTTTAGTGATTTAAACTGTTTGCATTCTTGGTTTGTGTAGATATCAGCTCTGTTTCTGAAATGTATTTAACTGAGCCTCCTAACATTTTCTGTCCAGATGGTTTATAGGAGACTGGTCAGAGTGCAGTAAGACCTGTGATGGAGGAATGCGTTCACGAACAGTTCTCTGCATCAGGAAGATTGGGCCTTCTGAGGAGGAGACGCTGGACGCTGCCAACTGTTTAACACACCGGCCTGTTGAAAAAGAGCCCTGCAACAACCAGTCCTGCCCCCCACAGTGGGTTGCTCTGGACTGGTCAGAGGTAAGGAAATGTCACTGTGTTAGCTCATTGGCAATAGTGGAGGCAGGGCCTCTGACCACTAAATACTAGTACATTTTCTGTCAGAGCTTGCTAAGTAAAGGATTAATAGGAAAATCTCCCAGAGGATGTTTCACCTGTGCCTCATTGTTTTGTTTCCTGCCTCTTAGGAAAATGCCCATGACCTACAGAGTATCACTATAGCCTAAATTAGCTCCTTCTCTCCCACAGGCATCACATACTGGTTACCTAAAGTAATTTTACACTTTGTTATCCTATCTAGGCTTTTATGCAGCAAGATCATGTAATGATTTTGAACGAAATAGTTCTAATTTAAAGATTCAAACTTTGCTAAACTTCCGATTGTGATAATTAATCAGGATTGTGAAAAAGGACCAGGTTTCCTTCTGGTATTGATTTTATTTGTGTAGCTTGGCAGACTGTCTTGACTGACAATACCATTTTAATATAATGAGAAAAGTTGTTTTTCTTTTGTCTGTTAATGGTTTATAGAAATATAATGTATTAAAATCCCTATCATACTATAAATGAGAACATTTTTGTATGTGTGTTTATATGAATTTCTGACAGAAACATGAAAAGGAAAACAAGAGTGAACTTAAAAAATGAAGAGTTGAATACTCTTCCAATTGAAACCAGTGGCAAACCCTGCTAATTTTTTTCTGGAATGCAAGATATGAAGTTTTCTTTTCATTTTCAAAATAATGCATATTACAAATAAAACAATTACAGAACTGTTTTATTTTATCTGCTTATGCATTTGTTGATACTCAATATAATTACATGTTTTTAAAATTTTCAGTGATCATTAACAAGAAATTATATATCCTTTTGGTTAGAGAAACAGAAACATTTTGTAAACATACTGGTTAGATTAAGTTCTTAGGAGAATGTAAGCATGGTTTTATCAAATTGAAATAAAATCTAAGGATGTCTTTCCTACTGGAATGTAGTAATTCTTAGCTAGTGCCATAAGTTTTTTCACACTCTGTGATAGCTGAGCTTTGATAGAATTAATCTACCCACTCTAAACTACTCCTTTTATATTTTTCAGGATAATTATTTTTAAAAAGCAGGAAAAATATTCTGAGGATTTTTTTGGGAAGAGCCTTATCAGACAAGCACATATAACTTGCCTTCATGACTTCCACAAAGGCAGTCAGAAATTCTAGAAGCATTTAGTAATGGAAATAATGGAAGATAATTTGTTCTCATTTGACTTATCTCAATATTTTCTTTTCATTTTCTTTGGAAGCGTACAATCTTTTTGTTAAATTTTATTGGTATCTATTATTTTTAGTGATTCAGTATTATTGAAGGCAACCTATTTCCTTCTTTCACTTCCATTTCTGGGATTCAGTGTAGTCCATCTTAGTAGAACTTATGCTATGTAAGTCCAGACAAGGGAGTGTTGTTCTCTTCTGGTACCAGTAGCTGGAAGAAGATTTTTCTCAGATGGCATCTTACATATAGATTCAAGACTGTGTCTTCAATTAGTACTAGAAGGAAGATGCTCCTAAACTCAAAGTTTAGTCCTTGTTGCTTGTTTGCTAACATCCATAATCTATAATTATGGAACCTCACAGGCCAATTGGGTTTTGACATTTTGACACAGTCCTTTCAACATGGTCACTTTTCTGTTTGTTTTGACAGACTGATGTGATTTTTAAGCACTTAGCTGGGAAGGGGCACATACTTTTACTTCCTACTTAAAAAGTCATGCATTTTACATTAAATACATGTGGGAGAAAGTACTCACAACACTCCTTGAAATTTGGACCAAAACTGATCAGTCATGATCATAACTTCGAAGACCTTACATAATAACTGTCCTTGGGCTTTGGTCTCTCTTTATCATTAGTATTATGTGTTTAGTTCTACTAGACATCTTCTCTTACTTCCCTCTTACATCTAGTTTTCTACTAGGCAGTGTGCACAAGATTTGGTGTTGAAGTATAGGGATGTTTGAAACTGTTTATTCTGTATCAAAATTCTGAATACTGAGCTACTGCAGATAAAGAGTCTGTACCTCGGTAGAAAAAGATCAAATAGGGTAGAAAAGCTTAGGTTTTAAGGAAAGTGATTATATATCCATTTTGCATTCTGGATTATAAACTTCAAATACAAGACTTATCTTTATGCAGCCCAGTTTAAGATACTAAATCCAAGTGGAAATAACATTTGGAATAAACCTTTTATTCTATATGGACTAGTTTAGGTGCCTCTCTCTGGAGATTTTCTTCTTGTTTTGAGGTATATGTAGATAGAGCTATAAAATTTTACGTATTGGTAGGGTATATCCTTACATAAGACTGTGGAACTGTTTTAAAATTTCTATAAATTATTCAAAGATGCTTCAGGATTAGGCATAAAACAATTAAGTTTGCCTCAATCAAGTAATTTTTTTGAAAATTAATGTTAGGGGTTTTTCTTTTTTCCCCAGTGATGTAGTGAATTGTTTTGGATGTTTGGAAAGCCTTTGGTATGTCAACTCTTGAATATTGCTCCAGTTCCACATAATGTTGCTTCCCAAATAATGTTTTGTCTCTACATATTAAAGTCAATTCCAATCTTGAACAGGTTAGCATAATCTGCATGTAAAGTTTATGCTGTCAAAAACTGATTCTGATCCAAATACTGCGGATATGCTTATGGGATAATGGTTAACATGCCAATAAAGGATTCCAAAACCATACGTACAATGTCTCATGCCAAAAAGGGGCTGATTTGGGAAAGGTCTTGAGTTATAATTTTGTTAGCACTTGTCTCTTCCTCATTATGCAGTTGAGCTACTGTGTATGACAGTTAATGGTGAGTAGCAAAAAGGAAAGAGAATGACAGCAGCACCATGGTGAAGGAAGATAAGGAAAAGCAGTGATCATCAGGCCTGCTCCTTTTCAAGTGGCTGTTTTATTGTCTGCTGTCAGACTAGCACAAGAGAGATAAAAGGAGGGAAAACTATGAAATAAGAGTTAAAATTTAAATAGGAAAAGAGAGGAAAGCATGCACTGTAGGAGAGGGTATCATATCTTGATATATCTGAATGATGTGGTTTCTATGAAGTCAAATCCAACATTTATATTCCCTTTTGTGTATTGATGAAAAAATGTATTCATTGTCTGTGGATAAAGTGAATGAAGACCATATTAAGGTGATATTAAGGACAGACTGTCTTATTCTTAATTATTGAAACACTCAAATTTGTTTCATAATAGTGCTACATATGGCAGACCTTTCTGCTTTAGTGTTTTTCTTAAGCCTGACATAAATAATGTCATTGTAGTCTAAATATAAACAGCAAAGGAAATTTAAAACTTAGAAAATTTTTACATAATGAAACAAACTTCAGTCATCTTGTGCGTGTTTCTAAATATTTAAAAATTATTATTACTGTATTGTGATTATAGTTGAATTGTAAGATCATAAATCATCATGTCCTGTATTATAAATTGCATTTTTGAGAGTTTCATTGGTGTTTTACTGAGATTTTAATTATTTATTTGAATAAATTTTTTTTCAGTGCACACCAAAGTGTGGCCCAGGATTCAAACACCGAATTGTCCTGTGCAAAAGCAGTGATCTTCTAAAAACCTTTCCAGCTGCACAATGCCAAGACGAGAACAAGCCGCCAGTGCGCATCCGCTGTAGTTTAGGCCGATGTCCTCCTCCTCGCTGGGTTGCTGGGGACTGGGGACAGGTGGGACAGTTCATGCAAGTCTTCATTGCTGTTAGTCTCCCACATTAGCACCTCGTAGTCTAAGATGTCCCTGGAGATAGATAAGAGGTGGTTCCTGTGGCTGAGGGAAACAAAAAGATTCTCTCCTTTTGTGTCAGATTGAAACGTGATTCTTTGTGATGATTGTCTAAGAGCAATCTAGTTTCTGCTGGATGAGTTTCTCCATGCACTTTAAAGAAAAAAAAGATTCTTACTTTTAAAAGATTTTGGAAATACAAAGATTTTGGAGTGTTGCAGAATGTACTATTTTTAAAACACATTTAACTTCCTTGAGAAACGTAATGGAAATATAAAGCCTATTCCTATTGTAGTAGCACATCTGTATATATATCTATCTCTGAAAACCCACACTTTGAGATCAATATAATTTTTTACATAAAATATTGAATTATCATACAGGAAGATAAATTACTCCTGGACAGGCTGAATAATGCTGCCATTATGCCATGCTTCAAAATATGATTTACTAAGTTTCCTTCTTTTTTTTATGTTTTTGCATCTCATTAGTGATCAATGGCCTACTCTTAGAATATTAAATTATGAATAATTTGCTGTTTGTGGAGCAATTTTCCTCTAATGAAAATGAAACATTTTATTTAATTAACCAATGGAAAATAATTTGCAATATTACAATCTAGTTGGCTTTTTTTCCTGGTGATTCTTCAGTTCCACTTTTATATTTAATTAATATTGTACTAAAATTGTAACTAGTTAGTTACAGAAATTAAAAATGTTTTCAAACAGCAAAGTCTATTTGTTTGAAAGATATCTACTTTTCTCTGAAAAGAAGTCCTGTAGCAGAATTGAATTATTGTTTTCTTTGGTTTTTTTCTTCTATATTTTAGAGGGTCAGTATGATATATGAAATAGAGTAAATTGTATTCTGATATCTCACATCTGAACTGCTCAGGGAGTCCATATTTCATTGCATTTTCTTTTCTTTAAGAGACAAGTGCTCATATGGGTTGTAAAAAATCCTGGAATATTTTATGATAATTCTTTTTTCTATTAATCAAACATCTTCCAATGCCTGTCTTCTATAAAATTTGTGGATATGAAGTGTTTCTGATTGCTTCCTCTTGCTTTATTATATATTTAAAAATTAAACACAGGGTTTCAAGTTTTTTTTCTCCTTCATTAGTGTTCTGCACAGTGTGGTCTTGGGCAACAGATGAGAACAGTACAGTGCCTGTCATATACTGGACAAGCATCCAGTGAGTGTTCAGAAACTCTCAGACCTCCATCAATGCAGCAGTGTGAAAGTAAATGTGACAGTACTCCCATTTCCAATACAGAGGGTAAGTCTACCATCTTAATATTATTTCTTCTGAAAAGAGTAAAGTGACATAGTCAGCATTGCTGCATTGGTAAAAGTCTATATGACGTCATCTCTCAGGCTGTGAATGACTTCTTAAAAATTATTTTCTGCTTAGTCATTGTAGCTCAATGGTACAGTCAATGAAAACCTAAATACATACTGTTTGTTTAAAAAAAATATCCTTAAAATATATAGCCTAAGTCATGGGCAAAATACCTACTGTTTGTGTCATTGATTTTCTAATCTCTTCATGAGTTCAATGGAAATGTTCATAATTGCAGGGGGAGCTTAATACACTTTCATCCACTGACCTCCTACCTGCCTAATCAGTGTTAAACACAGCAATGTAGTGGCAAAAAATAGTGTTCATTGGAAGACTGGGACCATAGATTTTGTGCTACATGGTTCTTGTAAGAACAAGTCTGTTGTTACACTTTGACATCCTTTCAGCTTCTTCTAACTAACTTTTTTTTTGATTTATAATGCTTGTTCAAAATAATTATAGTATTTTTTGCACTATACAGTCCAATTTAATTAGACTATTAACTCACTTCATCAGAATGTATTTTTGGTAGTGAATATATGAGATAATATTGTGAAAAGAAGCTTATTCACACTTATTAAATACTTTGGATATGAACATGCAAGTGGTCTAGACCAAATTATTATGAAATGCCGACTTCAAAGTAGATTTGGAGTTCTAGGCAATAAAAAATATGTTTGCTCATTGATTATAAAATTCAGAATAGTTTCTCATGAGATAAGTACAATTCATTTTGTGTGGAAGAAGAAAAGGAATAGAAAATTCTCCAAATTATCAAATTACACAGCAAAAACTGTCACTCTAAAACACTTATTCCCAAAATTTGTATTCCCTAAATTTTAAGTACCTGACTACAATGTCACTAGCACTGCTGCTTTTAACATAACTCATCTCTGTGCAGTATATAATTGAGTATTTTTACACAAAATCTCTTCCTACATTGGAGTTTAATGTCCTATTTATGTGGAACAAATGCTCTGTGTTAAATTTTTTTGAAGGCAAGTTTATCCTGCTGTCTACTCAGATTTGGTGTTCATTCAATGTCTAGTCTATCCATCGATGTCCATGCCATAGATTCAAAATTGTTATAAAAGTCTGGCAAATAGAGATGTCTGTGATGAAATGGAACCATACTAAGATTGTCCCAGAAATACACTTATGCTTCAATGTATGAACACTATAATTCACTATTTTTAGTAAAGTTTGCATTGCTTCTGTTTAGTGCTCTCAAGAAATCTTTAAGTGATAATTATCAATCTAGGAAACTTTCTGCCTTTTAAATCTCACAGGCTACATGTTATTTTATATCCAGACACAAATGTTGATTTGAGTCAAAAGTAAGGAAGGTAATAAATTACTTATAAGTGGACATGATTCAGTCCCTGTCTCCTCTTAATTTCTAAATAACAAGGGCATATTGTTTATAGTAATTTCACTAATAATTCTTCAGTATTATGAGAAAATATGCTAATCTCTTATAGAAGAATGCAACTGGGGATTTTCTGTGTGTGATATCTGTACACTGGGTGGCCTGAACTTCCCTACAGTAGAACTGTGCAGGATAGCTATGTACAGTGAGTCTGTTGGTAATTGTGTTTTTAGGGACCCACACCTTCACTGGAAAATTTTGGGGATCCACAAATAAAAAATATTGAAAAACACTTCTACTGTATTCTTGATGGTTGTCTGTTCTTTGGCCCGCACTCTGAGAGAGCCAGGTGCAAGTTAGCTCCTTATTGACAGTCATCCAGGCTCATTAGCACAGTTAAGAAGAATCAAAGGGAAAAAGATATAGCACAGTATCTTCCAAAGGATATAGTTCCCAAAACATTGCTGCTTAGCATCCCATTTGTGTTTATGTCTCACACTGGCAGTATTTATCTCAAAACACTTAACAGTATAATATGCTTAGATGATTTCAGAAGAATTTCACTGCAATCTGTGAAAGACTAAGGTTGCCCTATCCCAAAATTAGGCAAAAATTCTATCTTCAAGGTATTTTTTTCAATACTTGTATAAGTATTTCTTATATATATTCTAATTTATAAATATTTTACAGCTTCTCTTGAATAGTGAATAGGAGAAGCACAAACAGGATTTGCAGAATAATGAGCAGGTTTGGCACATTTTCTGCTTTAAAAAAGTCCTCTTAGACACAAGAGGAGTTGACATCTCTTAGTGTAGTAAAGTGTCAGCCTTTTAAACAATGAGGCTTATCTTTTTCACCATCCTGGAGATGATGAAAAGATTCCAAGAGCTAACTAATCCTAAAGAGCACATATATTTTTGGAAAAGTAGTATTTTCTGTGAGAAATTTTGGAGTTATGATATTTTGTTGTGAATATATTTGTGAGTGGGGCATGCTGTGCCTCTGCTCACTTCTGTCACTCTGCAGATACAGTGGGATGTGATCTGCCTATCAGTATTTGGGTTTCAAGGAAGGAGTCAGGTCACCCAGAGAAAAGGGTTTGTCCACTTCAGAGTGCATGTGTGTAGCAGAGCATACCTGCCCACACACAGGGACTGTGTCCATGTGCCACCCTGTAGCACTGCCTTGTGCTTTGGGCTCCGCTGTGGGGCAAAAGCAACTTCAGCAGCAACGCACTGATTTGCAGCAGGTCAGATTATCTGGGGGGCTCTTCCTGTTTCAAACCCCAGCAAACCTGATTCGCTTTGTTTGCTAAATGCCTGTGCTCGCACACTGTGGATCCTGTTCAGCAATTTCTTAGCAATTTAATTTTGCTACCCAAAGATAAAATCAAACAGGGTTTTGAGAAGGCTTGAACCACTCCGCAGTGTAATGATTATGTTGGTGAAACTTGGAAAATTTTTCTTTGGGAAAGTATGGGTTGTTTGCATAAAACAAGAGTCAAAAGTTTGAGGATACAGAAATACTAAAAGAAAGTTACATTGAATTTTGTCATATTTTACATGTGCTTTAGCTCTGGGGTTTTCAAACGTTTAATTGGTGGCTTATTGTAGATGTGGTTTTGATGGGCTGCCACTAATGTGGGTAATGTTGCATTTTCTGCTGAAGTGAACTACAGGAATCATCTACCGCACCACTTGAAATCTATTCAGAATTATTCTATTCTCTTAAATACATATATGTCTGCTGAATCTAGACTGCTAAAGCCCATTTAAAAGTTTACCTGAAAAACTGTTTTGTCTATTTTTATGTCATTTCAGTTTTTCTTCTATTTCATTATACATCTTTGCACTTTCTTTAGCTGGAGGCACAGTGACATATTGTGGTTTTTTTTTAATGTAAAATTATAGTTAATATCATAATATCATGTCATCTAGCCACAAATTTCAGCAAGGAAGAGCTTGTGCATGTAGCTTACTGAAACTTATTAACACTTGTTACTAGAAACAAAAGGAACTCTGCTAAACCTTCTCCATTCAGCCACAGCCCTATGAAGAATAGGCTACTTCATTAGCTACCATTATCTATTTCAAAACTGATTTTTAAAACAGAAGTTTTGGGGAGCTTCCAGAATATTCTCTCATTGCTGTCCAAATGGCATCAGCTGAACAGAGTCCTGTTTTACTCAAGAGGAAGAATAACTTAAAAGAAATATGAAAAAGGATCATTTGAAATCCTACTTTTAGAAAAAAATGAGTCAGTGGTTATACTTGTATTCAACTAAACACAGTGGGTTTGAGGGTTATTTTTGGGATTGAGTGAATTTTTAATGTCTTGTTGAGATGAAGTAAACTTTTTATTTTACACTTCACTTCACGAACATGAGTACCTGAAATATTTCTGGAAGAGACTTGACCTCTTTTGTGAAGAGTGTTTGAAATTCAGTCTAATACAGTGACCATGTGTGGTTTCTAGTAGAGAAATATATGTGTTTCTACCCGCTACCCACAATATCTTTTTTCCTGTCACTCAATTATGTTTCCATTAAGAATTAAAGAATTAGAAAAGCAGTATGTTAAACATCATGTAGGTGGAGTGAAAGAATTGCAATGAAAGTGCTATATCTGTGTTAATGACATGAAAGTAAGTAATTTCCTACCTACTTCTTGCTTAGCTAAAAGCATGCATTTTGCCATTTATCAGAAATACTGACCAATACAGACCTGGAAGTTCAGCCTCAATAATGCTTTCCTAGGTTCAAATACTAAAAAATTCTCATCTGCAACTCAATTTGCTACTACAGTGTGCTTGCAAGTGTTAATCCACTATATGTAACACCCTGCCCCAGAGCAAGAATCATGTACTAGGAGATTATATGGAGACTAAAGATCTGTAGAATCTATGTGTGTTATTGAATTCTCGGATGTAGCCCTTTCTTGAGTTATCAGGAGTATCAGGATAAGAACTGAGCACAGATCAAACTATTCCATTCTCCATTCCCACATTCTTTCTACAGGTGCAAAAAATGAGCCAGAGGAGTACCACAGCATTTTCCAGCTCCTGTTACGTACCCACAAAGTCACTTTATATGCAACCTGTGTGGGATGCAAAAGAATGAAACCTTCCTCCATGGGGTTGAGCTCAGTTCTCCCCTCCTGGGAAAGCTACTTGCCAGTACAACAGGGCAGTTGAGGCAGTAAGCCCAGCATAAAGGGAAAACACAAGTTTGAGAAAAACCTTTTATGTCTATTACATGCGTAAACTTCTAATGTAAAATAAGTTGTGGATGTGTGGAACCAAGCCTAAAGTATAATCCACCATTCATTTTGGTCACTGAACTCAACCTGTTGGTACCATTATTTGTAACACTTACGTAATATTCTGCATCCCTCTTAGGTTGCAATGCTCATTTTGTTTTAAGGATTCTTACAAATATATGGACATGAATCATCATAATGATAATCTCTCATGGAAGAATAAAGTAACTCCTGAGAAGGAAGTAAATATGTAAAGGAAGTAGAAGGAAATAAAAACGTAAAAAAATACCTCACATTTTCTAACTGTGTAAAGTGATGATTTATCCCAATAAATAATAGTTCTTCCAAGGCAAAGACTACTCACTTCTAAATGTCGAAAACCCTGCAAATGTTTTTATGGCTTTTAAAATTTGCAATATTTTATGCACTAGACTGTACTAGAAAGAGTAGCTACAGAGAAAGCAAGATAGATGGATAGAGGAGAAGCATATTAAACATCAAATATCCTTTGTACTTTAAGTTATAGATCTGATTTTTTTCTCTTTAATGTTCTTAATTGTTAGAGTGCAAAGATGTGAACAAAGTGGCCTATTGCCCACTGGTGCTGAAGTTCAAGTTCTGCAGTCGAGCATACTTCAGACAGATGTGCTGCAAGACCTGCCAAGGACACTGACCCACAGGAAGCAGAAGAATGTGCCTTGTTTTTATCATTGTGGAAGAGTGTCCATCAAAGAGAGCCACACAGCGGAATAAGATTGACGTCCTTGCAAATGCATTACCCTGTGGAAAACATAACCACTGGTCAGCCCCAGCTGACGGGATTTCAATATTATTTTAACTTCTGTGAAGTGGGATTTATTAATCCAAAGTGCTGGACACAGTATGAGGGGATCCCAAATTTGAAAGATTCACACAACACATATAGATAGCTTACTGTGGAACATTTGTGTTCTTTTGACTAAATCCAATAGTCTGTTTACATCCATGGACCATTAAAATAACTTTTATTATGGACTTAGCAATGACACTGAATCCATTTCTATTTAAAACTGTTTAAAATGTAGTTCTTATGAGTTGGTTTACTATGGAAGTAAAAAATAATCAAAAAAAAGTTAATTCATAGCTTAAAAATCTTAACTATTTTATCTCTTGACACAGCACCACAATTTAAATTATAAAATGAGCTTTGAAATGTTATTTAAGGAGCATTTAAGAAATTTTTTAGAAAAAAAAGTATTTTTCCTTCATTCCACCTATTTCCCTTTGGAGTAATCCATATTTCCTGAACACTGCTGTGAGCCATATATAAAGCTATACTAAATAGAACAACCATGAGGGACTTAGTTTTAAGAGGTGCAACAGTTATTGCAGTGGTGCATTAAATACAAGTGTGCTGTGAAACAAAATGAAATCTTCACTGCAAGTTTATAGCCATCTTACCATTGTACAAGTGAAACAGAACTGAAAGGAATACAGTTCATTATCATGGGGAGGCAGACCCCAGCAGTGGTGAAGACTGGATTGCCAGTTCCTTCACTGCTACCATAAAGATTGTTTAGGATTTACACTTTGACTCCAGCTCACTTTTGTTTACAACACCAGCCACAAAGAAGAAACAACTTTGTGGGCTTCTAGATCTGGTTTACATATTAGCTTTGATTCTCCAAAACTAAGTGATTTGAATGCAGATGATAAGTCTAGTGTGTAATAGCAACAATCCTTTGCAAAGCTGAAAGTTAAAATGGATTCCAGATGTTCCCTCCTTTGATACCATAGCAGAGGTATTGTTTACGAGAAGGAATATGTGAATGTTCTATTCAGGAGACCGTATCTGAGTAGCAAGGATTGCAACCAAAGAATAAGTGACTCATGGAGGTATCTAGGTTCTGTTTTCAAATGAGAAGTCAAAAGTGTGCTCGAGTCAAGAGGCCTGTGCCTGGAATAAGGCACACTGGAAAAGGGATGGCTGTTCTTCTGGCTGCCTTCACCTAAATGGCCAGGTAACTATTTGAAGCTGGACCATATTTAAGCAAGGGGCAGCTTTCAGCATGAGACTGAAACAAATTCATGCCTGTAAATTAGAAGCTAGATAGTGAATAGTCTTAACTATTCACTGCCATGTTCCACTTATTCATATTACCCTATTTTTAATATTCACCAAATACTTAGTATTTTTAAAAATGAAACCAAATTTCTTAGGCAAGTCACAATCAGGAATATAACATTAAAAAGTTAATTGTCATGCTCCTCTTCCCCTTCACTTTTCAGTAACAGTCTCAACAAGGAGATAAGGAAAGTAGATATTACTTTATAATAATATATTGTACTTGAACATTTGCATTTTGCAACAGGTACTTCATGAATGTGATGGTGTGTCCAGCTATGACTCCTTTGTTATAAAACAGTTAAAATTATGTGAACAATAATGTGTTACAAATTCTAACTCAAATAGCACTTTTAAAAAAAATATTTTCAGTGAAAAATAATTTCAAAATATGATATTGAAGTGTACCAATGTATTTTACCAGTAACAAACCAAATATATTGCACACTACTTACTAATGTGAATTAACATGGAACAATAGATGCTGTTAAGAGGACTCATACTATGAAATTTCCCCAACATATTGACAATCTGTCAAGGGGTTTTGTGTAGCCCCATGTCTGTACTCATGACCATCAAATTCTTGTCATCTGCTACCTCTTGCCAGTATTTCCACTTCTGTACAATTGTGACCAGTTGAATTAATTTTCATTTGGCTTGCATGTATTCACATATGCTTATTATCTGTTGCTCTCATCACCATGTAAACAACTCCTGTTAAAACTGACACCAGTAGATAAAAACTCCCAAATTTTTGGGAGTTGCACATAGAGATTAAGGGCAGTATGTAGTCCTTGTCTGTTAAGTGAATTGACTTCCTATGTCCTTTTGACAAAACACCTTGGTGCTAACATGCCCTGGTTAGATCAGAAGTATGATGAAAGGGTAAGGGGTTGTTGCAACATTCCTTAAGCAAGAGGCCTCTTTGTATCAGGGTCCAGTTTTCTCCAGGACATGATTTTGTTTATCAGCTAATGTGTCATTTCAGCTAATGAGAAAAGGGTTTTCTCTGTATTGAAAATAAGCCCTTTTTTTTACCTCACTTAGGACATGAAAATTGTAAGGAATGTTTCCAAAGACACATTTTGCTCTCTTACTGGGGCTAGAACACCGGGGATTCTGATGTTTACTCTGCAATATAACAGCACTGAGATTGGAATTTAAAGAACTGCCTGGAGCCATGTTGAATTGTATTGTTAAAGGGAACAAAACACAGAATGTATATGGATTTGCAAACTAAGTAACGCTACAGACTAAGACTGAAATATGAAACCGAATTAAAAGAAAAATAATTGGTTTCAACAGCACAGTTCATTGCTGCTGCTACACTGTAGCCATCTATATAATCTAAGCTAAATAGTGTTATATTCCTAAGTAGTGACAAAACGAGTCTTTGTGCAGGCTATAAATATGACAGACCTAGAATCAAATAGTACAATACAAGATGCAGAAACCTGGTGCTAGTACTTCTGCTGAGCAATACTATCAGCTGGTAAAGATCAAAACAGAAATAAAAATCTAAGATTAATCCTTCAAGGTGTATACATCCGAAATAGTCCATTTCATTAGGAACTTTATAAAGGAGTGAATGTCACATAGATATCCTTAATAGTACAGACTGAAATTACCTTTGTATTATTGTGATTAGTTGCTTATTATTTTATACTCAGTATTAATGTGGTACACTGTTACTTTATTATTATTTTTGCTTTTGTAAATTATATTCTAATTTATTGTCATGTTTCTTAACACTTGTTCTACATGCATTCTCCTGCTTGTAATAAAAACAAAAATATTGTAACACTTGATGCAGTGAAATTCCACACCAGGCACAGATTTGTTTTTAACATAGATAATTTAGTAAAATAAAAGTGCAGCTTTTAAGATTGATACCCATGATACAGTTGTCTCTTCCCTTACTTACAGTTACTAGAATTCTGTATGCTTAATGTTTGCTTCATCCGGTACATCAAAATATATATAAGGTGTCTTCTTTGAAGTAACATCTATGTTATGGTAGAATCCTGTCCTGGGCAGCGGCAATATTTGTCATATATAAGCAAATAAGGAAATAACAAAAAGGAAAAATCAAGAATACGGTCATGTACATTACTTACGTACTTAGTCTAAGCAGTGATGTAGATCAAGAATGAAATTATTGGCAGCAAAACTATTTTGTACTTCTTGGAATTATTACAGACAGTCAATAATAACAATAAAATGTCCTTCTTGCATTGAGTTTTTAAGGTTTTATCTGAAGTTTATCTGAAGCCATGGTATTTTTAAATGTAAAGAAGAAAGTAATTTCAGTAGACTTGGTGCTTGGGTAGCTGTTGCTGAGAGATGCTTCCTTTCTTACCTGGCACAGTACAAATAACTTGCTATAGAAATCTCTGATCAAGTCCTATGAAATATTTCTTATTTCTGAATTAAAATCTAATTTCTGGTTAAATGAACATAAACACTCCAATCTTGTGAATAAGATGTTAAAGAAAGAACCTTAAATGCATTGATGACATATTTAATAATATTGGTTATTTTTTGTTATTCTATCTACAATTAAGGATTCAAAAACTAATTGCTTGTTTTAAAAATATGGGTATTTCTATCTGTGCTTGATCACAAAATTTTTTTGCCCTTTAGATGAGAAGTTAAAGATGAAGTAGTTTCAGTAAATAACACAGTTTAGTGGCAGTTTTCTCTGTCATTGTAAAGCTGTTGACTTTGCTCCCATACATTCACACTAAGTTATAATCTGATAGATTTCCCATTATTGTTCAGTTTGCAGTGATGTTTTTTCCTGCTGGTATTATGATGACAGACTGAGAACACTGAAACAGAGGTTTTTCTCCTTTCTTTTCTCCTGCTACCTTAAACCTGGCATAACCCATGATGACTGTAGAACTCCTGACACAAAATAATCCCTCCAGTCTTTTTAAAATTCATTTTTTTTCACCAATTTGATACTGGGGTCAATCCTACTACTACAATTCTCTGTTACACTTTTTCAGTTTATTTATTGAGGAAATGAACACCATTTTTACCTGAGGGACTGTTTTTTCCTTTTCCTGACTTCCCTTTCTATACTGTTCTTGAGTATACTTACTGTTCTATCTGAAGCTCTCTGATGTACAAGAAGCATTTTTACATATCCTCTGTAGAATTCTGAACAGATTTTCTCTATTGTCCTGACTTCTTTATTCTTTTTTTATTGTTACTTGGAACTATGTCCCAGGACTTTTCTGGGTCCTCTTATGGAGGTTTACTGCAATGGACTTTGGATGAGTCCTGTGAGCCTCATCTGGAGGTAGTCAGTCATCAATCCAAGAGTCTTGTAGAAGACCATTACTATGCTGAGGCTATCATTCTGCAAGAATTGACGCCCTATCTGGCTGTTTTCCCTTCACCACAATCTATTAGGTGGAAGGGATGGATGACTGCTTCTGTGTGGTCCCTCCAATCTTCGTTCTAGACAGAATGGTGAAGGAGTATTTCCACACAGTAATCAGGATGAAATCCCAAACAGATTTATAAGGGCTCAGTCAGCCACAGAACAAGGTTCATTACAGAACTAGGGCATTGGTCATTTCCCAAGTGTATTTGGCCCAGCTAAAGTGGAAGTTCATGTCCAGTTTAGGAAAATGAGCCACTCAAAATGTGGGGTGGTATACATTTAAGGATTCTGCATCCTTAAACTGGCTTAACACCTTAACACCATGTGTAATTTCTTCTGTTTTGCATGAGACTGACATTTTCATTGAGCTGGACAGGGCACAGTTTATGTTCAGAGGTCATATAGCTGCCAATCAGAAAATTATTGAAGTCTGTTTTGGAAAAGATATATGTATTTCTACATTAAGGATTGGAAGATTAAATTTCTACAAACAGGAAGGCCTTTTCAGAGTAGATATATCAAGATCAGTAAATAAATAATCTCACTTCTTTAGTAGTTCTGTTTGAAATAAATTTATCAGATCACAGCTTGAGATAGAAAAGGAAGTGTTTTGGAAGCTGGAAGAGAAGACTCAGCCAGTGAGTGCTTCAAGCATCAGTTGCTATGACCACACAGAGAGATCAGATTTGGCCTGGCTGATAAGGAATAAGCTGTGGGTTTTGGAAGTCAGATTTCTCCATCTGCATCAAGACAAGTATATTTGATTATTCTTCTCCCCAACCCCACCTTGACATCAAAGTCTACAAATGTGCACATTCTTGCAGTGGTTACAACAAAATTATCACTCACATTGTTTGAAAAACCCATCTTGCAATATAATTTATCTTTTGCAATGAAGATCAGTCTTCTGTGTAGAATCTACCTCCCCTGAGAAGCAATGCTGAGTAATGTTTCTGAGTAACACTTCCTCTCCAAATTAACTGTGAGGTAACAGTTCTGGACATGTGGGAATATCTTCCAGTTATATCTCTATGAAAAGACCCAGACCCACTCTAGGGATTTCAGAAGAAAAACTTCAGTTGAGAATGCATTTTAAGTCATTATTGTCACATTTCTTTTGAGGTCAACTATGTTTCATTACGCAAATAAATTTACAGAAGTGCAGTGTGCTTAGTAGCGTCACTGCCTTCTAACATCTTTGAATACTGACCAGAAATAGGGGCAGGACCTTATGTATTAATGACAATGTGTGGTTGAAAAGTTTACAATCCATTTCCAGGACACTCTCTTTCATTTCTCCGACTCCACTCCTCAGAATCCACACACTGGTACAGGATATCTCTTCCCTCCATCATCTCCTCCCCCCTTGGTGGCTGTTTCTCTTCTTTCTCACTGCTTTAACACATCTATGTCTCTCATACTTGGTGTACAGTTCTGCTGTCTTTGTTCAGATATTTTAATGTGAATGTTATTGAGAGTTTCCTCATCTGTAATTGAACACCAGTTATTTGTTAAAAATGCACATATTAGGCTGGTTTTGTGAATTATTCATTTAAGTGTAAAAACAAATACAAAATCTAAATAAGAATTTCAAGAAAAAAACTGGAAGTGCGTTAATTCTTTTTCTAACGATAGTCCAAGTAAGAATAATATTTAATATTTTTTTCAACTGCAGCAATTAGAGGCCCCTTAAAGTTACTTTTTTCCTATTATGAAAAATATTAATTTAGGAGCGAATGCAAACAGGAGGAACCAAGCCAATATTTTGGTCTCAGGTTGTCTTTCACATGTAGCCTTTGTATTGAAATGCACTATCAAAACAAGACTTTCTGCAGCAAAAAGGAATCTCAAACATCTCATTTGGCCTTTCTGGCTCAAAGTTTCTGTAGAAGTTTATTTACCTAAGATAAGGTTACATTGTTGAAACTAACCTGCCAATTATCAATAACATTTGACTTCAGATGTATTATTCTTCAAAAGCATTTTGTCAAGGGTAGGGCTTGTAACTGATTTTCTAGAGAGGAGGGAAGGTATGACAGCTATAATTACACATATCAATTAACTATATCTTACTCAGAGTTCTTGTGAAATAAAGTGCAGAACACCCTATTTAGTTAAAAGAGTAAAGGAAATTAAACTGCATTTTATACAAGCTTCAAAAGGAAAGTGTAAAGTAAGAATATTCCATTTTGATTTTCCGTGAGGTTTAAGAAGCTGGCTCAGCACTGGTTGCTCAATGCACTGTTAACTTTTTGTAAAGCTGAAGACAAATGACCTGAATTCTACTTCCATGGAGGTTTGGGGTTTTTTTAACTCTCTCTGTTACCCTAATCCATCTAGGAAAGGTCTCAAGCACCCTTCTGTAAATAATTCCCCCCAGATTTGCTATGCTGTTTTTTTAATCACTTTTTGTAGTTGTGATGATTACAAATTTTAATGAAAGACCAAGAATGATGGATTTGAGGCCTTGGTCTCATGGCTGTGGATGTGTTCCCTCACTTCCTTTCTCCTCTAGCTGGAAAACTGCCATGTAGTCTTTTTTTCCTCCAGTATGACCAGAACAGGTTTCTGGTACCACAGGTCTCTGGCTGCTCATCTGCAGTGTGGCCAGACAACCATTCAGTGGATGGCTGTGGCATCAGGTATCACAGGTGCCTTGGACCAGCGCTGCATAAAATTAGTTCCTATGAAATATGGCCTTTTTGTCTCCTGGCTTTCATGCTTGGCACAGAGTTCCAGAGTATCTCTCAAATTTGGCCAGCAGCCACCTCTTGGTCTACAGCAGCAGGTGTCCCTCAGCCCTTTGCTGGGGCTCAGCTGTGGCTTGTGTCTGCCCAGAGTTGCAGCCAGGATGGGTGCTGGAACACTGGAATGTGCAATTCTGCCATGGCAGCTGTCAATCCCTGGTCAATCATGCTGGTGTGGAGAGCTGCTGAGCTCTGAGCTGTGGTGAGTCTCCCCTGTAAGCAGCTGGCACCTGAGGTGAGGCCAAGAGCTGGGTATGGTTCAGCTTCTCTTAGGAAACCCTGAGTCTGGGGAGCGCTGCTTGGGCCTGGCTGAGCAGCAGCCTCTGCCCAGCCTCGAGCTCACCACAGCTGCCTCCTCAGCTGGAGAGGCGGAGGGGCTGCCCCAGTGTGCAGCCACGACAGCTCCAAACAGAGAACTCTGCATGGGAACAGCATGGCTTCAGCTGAGGTGGAAGGCCAGCGACAGTGGTTTTGGGGGAGCTATGCTGAGGTTGGGAAAGCTGTGGCCAGGAAGCAGGAAGAAAGAGTGGGGCCATGAGATGGAGCTGGGAGGTGTGTAAAGAGCTGAGGAAATCTCAGCAAGGGGATCCTGGAGCAAGAGTTGGGTACATAGGTCAAGACCACAGGTCCCAAGCCAGAGGTACCCCTACAGAGGAGAGGATGTGGCTTCTGTGGGTAGATGGAGTGCAAGAAACATGCAGAAGTTTGAGCTCGGGCATGTCCCTTGCAGAAACTCAGTCTTCAGGATGGAGAGTAGAGAGCCCTTGCAGAGCCTGGGTTAGTTTAATCCCTTCAGTGAACACCTGAATGCTGTATATACTAGTAACAAAAGAAGCTATGAGTCTCTCAGTGAATTGCAGCAGTGAGCAGAAGTCTATACCACTTTGGATAACTATACCACTTTGGATAACCTGTTTTAATTGGCCATTCTGTATTTAGCAGTTGCAGTTGCAAAAATCATGTCTGTATATTTGCCTGCCACAAAGACAGCTGCATTCTTGAATGCCAGATGCTCACTGGGTAATTCTGTTGAACTGATGAACAAATGCTTACAGGGCGTGTTGACTCTCAGCTGGTAATCAAGATAGTGAAGGGCT